AGCAGACCGCAGCTCCCGAGATGGAAAACTAAATCCCCAGTATTCACCTGCAGTAGAAATTAGGAGCAAACGTCTTATTTCCAGAAGTACGGTGCAATCTGAGAAATGTTTACTGTGTGAATATGAAAGAAAAGAAAAACATTCTCGTGATATCTCTTTTGTAGTATAAAACACGTATTTTCAAGGCAAGACATGCTGCTTAACCACATAAATATCCAACAAGTTGTGAGCCTTGTTAATGGTAAACAGCATAGTATGTAGACTATGGAATACAATAAACACAGTAGGGTGCCATCATTTGTAAGTCAAATATCTCTGCTGAAGGACTCAGTATGGAAGACATAATGCTGCTACAGTCTACCTTGTACATGCCGCATGTTCTCCTCTCGTCTGAAGCCCAATGTGTTCTCATTAAAATGCGGACCAACGTGTTCAGATAACACAGCTCTGCTCTTCGTTTTCAGCCGTGATGGTCATTAATATGAGACGCAATACGCGTCGTCTGTTTTCTCAGATGTGTTGAGTTCAAAAGCAGCAGAGAAAGAGACAAAGACGCAAATGTGAAACTTTTAATACACTTTGTGAATGTTTCCTCATTCTTTAGTCAGTTAGATTGAAAGTTGTTTTAGTTTTTGTAGAACTGTTAAATGTTTTTCATCTCTGACCTTATAACATTAAAGTTGTGTAACTTTTTTATGTTATTCAGAGGTCGTAACACTGAAGACCAAACTGCTGTAAAACTCTTTTTTAAATTTATTTTTTATTCTTTTTTTAAACGTTAGCGCTGTGATTTCTCAACTTTCTCTGCTGCCATGTTTGTTTGGCCAAAGGTAAACAAACTCACGCTCTAATCATTGAGAGCTTTCAAATTAAAAGTCTTTCCTGTTTCTCTTTACTGCGTAATATCTGACATAATTACAGCTGCAATAAATATTTCAATTCTTTCAGTCATTATTCAAGCAAATATGCCAAATATACTCTAGTTTCTTTCTCTCATGTGACAGTAAATTCAATGTCTTTAGGTTTTGGACTGTTGATTGAACAAAGCCAACAAACTGAAGACATCACCTTTTTTTCCCACAATTTTTTAACTCAACATTCAAGAAATTAATCGATAATACAAGTAACCGTTAGTTGAAGCCCTGAATATCATGCTTTTACTCCTTTTTTGTTTAGTGCAGAGTTTCACAGCTGATTTGAAATGTCTTCTCATTACAGCAGTTGCAGATTTGTGCACGTGTGTGTGTGTGTGTGTGTGTGTGTGTGTGTGTGTGTGTGTGTTTGGTATTGAATGTGACAGGGGACAGGTGGGAAAGGCAGGCAGCTTGTGTGTGTGTGTGTCACTGCGAGGCGCGAAGTGGCCGAGACCATGTGTCTGACCTCTGACCTCCACACGCCAAACAGTGCCCCCCCCCTCTCTCTCTTCCCTCAAACACACACACACACAGAGAAACCCACGCGCCGTCTGTCAGCGGCCACTGACAGGCGTGACCGAGGCGGGGTGGGTGAGCATCTAGGAAGGGGGTGAGTTTGGGACCCCTCCAGCCATCCTACCCCCCCCCCCCCTCTCTCTGTCTCTCTCTCTCTCACTTATTCCCCCTTTTTTTAATTCCCTGACAGTGACCCTGCAACCCCTTCCAAACCACACACACACACACACACTGGCCATGTCAACCGCAGAAGACAGATACATCATCTGCCCCCCCCCCCCACTCTATGCTATTAGCACTGATAGGATGAGTAGAGTAGTAGTAGTGAGGGGGGGGTGGTCTCCATCCGAGCGGCTGCTGTCAAACTGCCACCCCGGGGTAGAGGAGTGCGTTGGGACGGCATGTGAAATTTGACCCTGAAATCAAAAACTCTAGAGATTATCAAAAACACACAACACACTTTTGTAGCTGCGTGAGGGGAAAAAAAAGAGTTTGTTGAAAATCCTGAAAATGTCACGTGTACCGTGACATTTTCGAGAAGGGGGCAGTTGGTGTGTTTGATTTGTTTGCATATATACACAGTGGTTGGGATGGGTGGGGTTTTGAAGGCCCCATGGCCAGAGGGGTTAGGGGCAGTTGAGGCGTTATGGGCTAGGAGAGATGAAAGGAGGGGAGTGGGATGATAAAATGATTTTATGGGATCCACCCCCCCCCCCCAACACACACACACACACACACACACACACACCTTCATATGCTGAGAGCATGAAGAAGCCGGGAAAAAGGACATGTGGGTAAGTGTACATGTGTGTGTGTGGGTGAGTGTATTACATTGAAGCCCTGGTGTGAATGAAACAGATCCAACGTTTTAGTGAAATTGTGTTTTTAAATGGTGGAAAGCTGCTGTTTGTGCAGGTGGTAGTTTTTGTGATAGCTACAGTGCATAGCTGATGGTAGGAACAATGCTAACAGGTGCACACACACATAAAGTTGAGGCTCAGCATTTCCAGGAGGGTGCTGCCACCATCTGGCTAAATGATGTAACTGCAACACCTCCACTAACAGGGTTTCCTCAGTCCTTTAAGAAAAATGTATTTCCCTTTTTAATTAATGCAACTGGATTTTAACTACAGCCTTTTTTTGGTCCCAGGCAAGAGGTTAAGACTGACAGACTTTTTCAATATGTTCATTGATGTTCACATGAAAGACAACACAAATGAATGGATAAAAACCTCACCGGATGCCATCAGCTGCTTTCCTCCTCTTTAATCCCTCATATTGACGAGACATTACCCCGTAGTTTAACATTATTACAGAGAAGAGAAACAAATGAAGTCGACAAACTGAAAAAGAGAAGTGCGTGATGGAGTTTGCATCTCTGTTTAGTGCGTAAATATTGTTTTGTCTTTCTGCTCTTCTTCGTCTTTTGTCTTTTTTCTTATATTTCATCTTCCCCTACTTTTCCGTGGGTTCTAAATGTTCTCCGTGTGCGGCGCCGTCTCTTCCTCTTTGTCTCTCTTACGCCTTCAACCCCGTCCATCCTCTATTTTCCACCTCCCCTCGTCACACCTTGAACTTGTCTGTGACCCTGATGATAAGATTACCACACACTCAAACATCGGGCTTATATATCATTTCCAATAAACCCTTCTTCTTCTTCTTCTTTTGTTTTCAAGTATTCATTCTATCCTTGTCTCACATTTCCTGTATCATACACAAAGTGTGTGTGTGTGTGTGTGTGTGTGTTTGTGTGTGTGCTCCATAGGGTAAGAAGGAGGCAGCAAAGCAGCAGGACAGAAGCTATAGGTGTAATTATAGCGAGGAAGAGGAGGGGAAGGACAGGGGATGTTAGCTGTGGTTTTATCAGGTGTACTTAGATTTTATTTTTTTCAGCTCTTTCTTGCCGCTTTTCTTTTGTTAATGAGATGTCTCCTCTCTGCAACAGTCCTGAAAAAGCATGAGACAGACAGCAGTTAAAGAGCAGCATTTCATTCCAAGATGGCGGCGGTAGTGCTGAGTAATGCAGTTTCTCTGGCGTCGCCCCGTCTTCCTCCAATTACTGCTACGGTTCCCAGAAGCCGCCGCACACGGCGGCACAGCGACGGTAGTCAGGCGGATATCTGCCACGAGAAGCCGCTTCTTAAGGCCCTCACGTCTCGGGTCGATAAAGTTTTCATTCAAAGAGCTAAATCAGAGGACGGTGTCATTAGTTCTGTTGGGTCATGTGAGGTTTATTTTGCTGAGCAGGGTTTTCTCTCGGTTGTTTGCAATGAAAAACGGGATGAAAAGCAGAGTAGAAAGCTGTATAGTATCTTCCAAGCCTGAACTTTTTAGGAACTAAGAAGATCATCTTTGGGTTTTTCTCCACAGTGGTGTATTTTTTGATTTTACACAGCCAAGCTCTCAAAAGGGTTTCATCAGCAATTCCGGAGCAGCGAGGTTATCAAGGGACAATAGAGCCAAACCATTTCCCCCTCCACGGCAACTGCTTTTACAAACAGTTGACTGCTTGCAAAGTATTTGTCGCGGTCTCGCTGGACTTCGCTCCCTATTCTTTTGAATTCCCGACGGCGTTGATCTCGCTTGAACTTTGACCTGCGAGAGTACTGCAGGACTGACCTCTCATTCAGACAGCCGTGATTGTTTGTGCTCTTGTTTGTGGATCTCAATGGTGAAAGAGTTTGATTCTCAAGAAAAGATCTGTGTGCGTGTGCGTGTGTGCATGTGTGTGTGTGTGTGTGTGTGTGTGTGTGTGTGCGCGCGCGTGTGTGTGTGTGTGTGTGTGTGTGTGTGTGTGTGTGTGTGTATGTGTGTGCAAGAGCTGCACTGGGGATGTCTTTACTTAGTAATTACTTAGTTTGACTAAAATGATAAAAACTCATTCGGTCAGTAGATTCCCGTTTAAAAAAAATGAAATAAAATTGTAGTTTGACTCTGAACTGCACCTTTATTACTAGTTGAGGGGATCAAATCAACAATATAAATAGTGCAAAGAAGTAAATCCTGAATGGATATATATAGTGAGTGTGCAGGATTTATATTGACAGTGACAGATGATGATATGTACAAACAAATGTAAAGTGCATTTAAAACTGTAAAAATGATGATCTTTCACGGCAGCAGCAGATATTTGGCTGTTAGATGTTTACTGACAGTGACATGAAGTCAAGTGAAGACACTGTTCTTCTGTCTGCTTGTTGTTCTACAGGGCCTCCCAGAGGGGAGAAGTTCAAACATTATGCAAGTTATGATTATGAAAAAGTTTGGAGTTTTCAACATTCATTATCGATTCCACTGCTTTTTTGATAGAATGAAGCTTTTTTATTCTCATTATTTTTCAATAAATGCAGAGAAACAGTTTGTGTGTGCGTGTGTGCGTGTGTGTGTGTGTGTAGGTGTTTGTGTAGGTATGTGTGTGTGTGTGAGACGGTAGTCACAGAGCGTATGTTTATCCCATCATCCAGGAATTTGAACCGACAACCCTCTCTGTGTTCTTAACCACGCGTCATCGCCTTACAAACCTCTGTGTATGTTCCGTGACCCTTTCTGATGTGTGTGTGTTTCTTGCAGATATCAGGATGTCTAAAGCAGCAGAGGAGGAGAAGCCTGGGGCTGAGTATCCAGGGGACAGTTCAGGTACACAAACACACACACACACACACACACACACATATATACATATATATATACATATTTCATGATGTGAATAATAATGACATTTTATTTACACATGTCAAATCATCATAGTTCAATTATGTGACACATGTGAATTAACCTGAGCAGTTTTCTCTTGTGTTTTTAAGTGAACGTTACTTCCTTTAAGTCATCGGCATGGTGCAATTTCTACGACCCAGTGAACACACACACACACACACACATACACACACACACACACACACGCACTCTAACAAACAATCCCTCTGTATTTCAGACTCTAACAGAAACAGCCCTGATGACCAGGTGGGTTTTATTCTTTTATTCTTCTGACTGATAATAATAGTTCTACATATATATATACTGTATATAATAGTTAGCTACATTAATTAAAGGAGTCATTATGAATACAGTAAGCATGGCACTGAGTTTCATAAACTTTAGTTTTATTGTCATCTGTCAAATCATACACAGTGAAACATATAGTGAAACTCTTGTTCCATAACAAATGAATGAAATTAAATAGAATCTTCATCAAACTACGGATACAATAATTTGTTGTTGTGACTATAAATTATCACAATACAAAATATATTTAGATAAGTGAATTAATCTCAGCAACAATATCTCTATCAAATCCTCACAGTGACATTTAACGTTGCTTTTCTGTTCATCATCAAAGTGGTTTGATATTTAGTGTGTAGTCAACCACCTGCTTTCTCAAAGATCCTGCTACATCAATATTAAAGTGAACTTTGTTGTTTCATAACGCTCGCATACAGTACACAACTAACTATATATATATTTTTTTTTTAAACAAAATTAACTCAATCTTGGGAAGTCATGGGAAATTGTGGTTTCATGTGGATCTCCACTTCTGTTGCTGTTTGAGTAACTGACATGCAGTCTGAGCCGTCTCCATAGTCCGCTGTAGGGGAGAGTAACTGAACCTGTGAGGCCCTCGGGGAGCTCGCTGACCCACATTAAAGGGTTGTGTTTCACCTGATGATGCTGATGTTGGGAATGTGCATGATTGTATTTGTAACACTCGTGTCTGTGTGTGTGTGTGTGTGTGTGTGTGTGTGTGTGTGTGTGTATGTGTATGTGCTCCTGCAGGTCCAGCCGATGAAAACAAGCCCCTTCAGCCTCTCTCCCACACCGGCTGTCAGCAAGGTGTGTGTGTGTGTGTGTGTGTGTGTGTGTGTGTGTGTTGCTTTGGTCAATCCCAGCTCATAACCCTTTCATAAATATTGGCTGTCATCAGCTTAAACATCAAAAATCTGTAGCAATCAAACCTTTTGTGTGTGTGTGTGTGTGTACACGCCATTAAGAGCTGAGTGATTCTTTTTTATATCCGTTCACGCTTTAAAAATCACTTTCCTGTACCGACTTCTGAATGTAGTCAACAAATGTAGTTTTAATACCTTTTATGTTTTTTTAATTGTGTTTTTGTGTACGTATTGAAAAGAACAATTCCTACAATGAATACAATAGACTGTATCTAAGAAGGTAGTTACCGTGACATCAGCCATTAGTTTGTGGACCACCGTTCTGAAGCCTCTGTTCTGTATTTTGGCCGTCGCCATCTTGGTTTGTTGGTTGTTGACCAACTTGTTCTTTTGAAACCAGAAATGACACGAGAGGGTGGAGGGTGTACATAACACGTCGGAGTGGTAACATGAACTGAAGATACACTATGAAAGGGTTAAAGTTCTAAGATGAAAGCAACGCTGTGGCAGCGACCTGTCAATCACCATGTAGCCCCGCCTTAAAACATACTCTGCTTTATGATCTATTTGACTGTAAATGGATCATAAGTTACTACATGAACATCATGCTGTATTGAAGAAGACTTGAAACTAGAGATTGAGACCATAAACTCATGTTTACAATGTTTACTGAGGTAATAAATCAAGAGAGAAGTAGAGTCATTTTCTCATAGACTTCTATACAGCCAGAGGAGTCGCCCCCTCATTAGAGAGAATGCAGGTTTAAGGCACTTCTGCCGCGGCTTTACTTTTTAGAACCGGAGGTTTTCGCCTGACGTGATCATGCAGGTGGGTGTGAGCGGGTGGTTGTGTGGGCATGAAGGCATCTGTGGTGTGTTTAATGACGTTGGTGCCCAAGGTGACACTCTTGTAAACAGCACTAATTATATAAGATCTGTCTCCGTCCGTCTTTACTGAGAGCCAAAGAGCCCTGAGAGAGAGAAGGCAGAAGGAACAGAGGATCAAATTACACTCTCATTTTCCCAGGTTTTGGAAAGTCATTTTGGAAAGAATTTTGTTGTGTGCTACGGAATGAATTGTTACAGTGAATTTTTATTTTCCGCAGCTGTTTTCCAACTATTAGAGAGTGAAAAAGTTGTTTGTCTTCATTTTCATACAATAATTAACATTTGGAGCATACGGTACAGTTATAAATGCTATTAAGGGTCCTCGATAAAGTCCTGGAAAAGTGTGGAAGTGTTGTCCATCCTAAAGGATGTGAACGAGGTGGCAGTGAGTGATTGACAGGTAAAGAAGCAGCACAGGTGGTGATGGATGGGTAACGACAGCCGGAGGTCAGAGGTAAGCAGCGTTCCTGACACCTCGAAAAACGAGGAGGGTTGAGTCAACCCTCTGGACGGGACGAACACTTGAACACTTGAATCAGCAGTGAGCAGCAATAGAGGCTCGAGCTCACGGAGTCACACGATGAAGCGCTGATGAATTATCTTTGACTCTCTCTCTTCACCTGCACAATCTGGTTTGTCTTCTAACGGCTCTACTTTCTGAGAAAACTGTGCCCCGGTTTAATGAGACATTTGTGAGAGTGGGGGCCAAACTGGTTCCTCAGTATGCAGCTGCTGAACGTCTGATGTCTGTCAGATGTCGGTTCAATACTGCATTGTGTTTTGTGCGAGAAAGCAAAATGCGGAAAGCGGAGGCAGAAATATAGTCAAGTCATATTGAGTTGAACGTCTGCAATAAAACAGACCTATTCTTGTCGGCGTTGGATTGTTGTGCAGGTTCAGTACCACTTGAGTTTACATGAACGTAGAGAACATTTGTCCGCTCCAGCAAAACAACTAAAAGTCCGATCAGCAGTATGCCGACGTTGCTGAATGAAGGTGTGCCTCTGTGATCTTCTTTAGGGAAATAGCGAGGAGAGCGAGGAGATGACCCACAGCACCGTCCCTCCTGCTCCTCCTGCACCTCCCTCCCAGCAACAGCAACAACAACAGCAACAGCAACAACAACAGCAACAACAACAACAGCAGCAACAACACCACCACACACAGATGATGCTGGCTGGCAGTCAGCTAGCAGGGGTGAGACAACACACACACACACACAGTAAATTGTGTTTAGAAAATGTTTTTGTTTTTGTTTTTTGCAATGCAATTGCCAAGTGGAACGTTTTGACCCCGTTCTTGTCCAACATGGCGACTGTCAGAACTGATTTCAAAGTTGGACAGTTCCCCTCAGTTCATTTTGACTTTATATGAAAACTGATTTCATTTGGAAATTTAGCAACATTTGTACAGAAAAAATGTGGCATTATCTACAAAATCAGAATTATTTGATCTTTTCAGTCACTTTCTTAACAAGTTGAAAGACTCAAAGTCTCTCTTGAAATGTCAGCTCAGCCCTTCTGCTCTTTTTCTGCCTCGTGTTAGAAGATGTAGCCACAGTAGTCCACATCTGTGTCTAAATGAAGTTGAGTTAAATGCTCTGTGGATGAAATAAGCAGCATTCGTATGTGCCACCCTATGTTCACTTCTTCATGTTAAGCTCAGAGGAATGTTGTGGCAACTGTCGCGCACAGGAGAACATTCAGTAAAATGACATAACTGCCCTGAAGGACATGAAAACACTTGCACAACACGTAGGAAGAGAAATACCTGAGCTAAATGTTCTGTAAGTTAAGTGGAAGGCTTCTCTTGATTGTCTTGGCTCCGGCATGCTTTTACTCTGCGCTAACAGATTCGTCTACGCCTCTATTCCTGGAACTACTTTGTTCTCTCTGCTGACTTTCCTTTATGTCTCCACTCATGTCCCGATCGTTTCATTCTTCCTTCACCGGTGTCTCCTCCTTTTGTCGTCATACCTCGCCCTGTCCTTCACATCCCCTTCCTGCGTCTGTACATCGTCATCTCGTTTCTTTCTCGCCTCAACGCCATCGCTCCTCCTCCTCCTCCTCGCCCCCCTGCTCTTTCCCCCCCACACAGCTTGCTGCTCTCCTCCCGGCCCAGCAGCAGCTGCTCCTCCAACAGGCTCAGGCTCAGCTCCTGGCGGCCGCCGTTCAGCAGTCCAACGCCGCCCACGCCGCCCATGCAGCCCACGCAGCCCACGCAGCCCACGCCGCCGCCCAGCAACAGGCCAACCAGCAGCAGCAGCAGAACCAGTCGCAATCCCAGCAGCAGCAACAAACCAAACAGGAACAAACTATCCAAGTCCCGCCTCCACCACAGCTAACCCTGTCACAGCCAATCCAGCTCACAGCCCAGGTATGAACCTTTTTACTGAAACCACCCTGCTGGTCGATAGATACACATGAAGATAAGCATCTCACCCGTGAGTTGCAACTTTAACACTTCTTCAAAGACTTCTGTGTTGCCTTGAAGCCCGGTTTCTCTGTGCTGTGGACTGACACATGTCCGTGTCTGTCGTTGCAGGACATCCAGCAGCTGTTGCAGCTCCAGCAGCTGGTTTTGATGCCGGGTCATCATCTCCAGTCTCCTGCCCAGTTCCTCCTGTCTCAGCCAGCACAGGCGCAGCAGCAGGGTGAGGTCATCGCCTGATCTTCAGTTCTAATGATTACTATAAAATACGCAATTGAGCCACAGAACAGGAACTCTGAAGGACCAAAACCACCGAGATTTCACTAAATCTTCCTGTTTTTAATCAAAAATAATGCATACTTCATTTTAGAGCCATAAATCACTGTTTGTTGATTCTTTTTACAGCATGCGTTGTTGTTGTTACCTGGTTGCTTTACCGGTTAATTCATTGAGTCATTTGGTGGATTGTTTAGTTTATTGATTGGTTGCTCTTCCTGTCACAGGTTTGCTCTCAACACCAAATCTGATCCAGCTACCTCAGCAAAGCTCAGGGGGACTACTGACAACTCCACCTCGCCTGGGACTCCAAGCACAGGTAGGAAATGTCTGGGGGGAGAGAGAGAGAGAAAAGAAAGAAAGAAAGAGAGGGAGGGAGAAGGGAGATATAGAGAAAGGGAGAGAGAGAGGGGACGGGGGAGAGAGATGAAGAGAAAAGAAAGAGAGAGAGAGACAGAGAGAGAAAGAAAGAGAGAGAGATGAGAGCTATCAGAGTCAACCAAATGATAACAGAACAGAAACAGAATGAGCTCCCTGGTCCTACAGCAGACAGCTCACTGTGACAGTGACTGATGTTATTAACACAGTACAGACTGAGAGCTCACTGCTCCCACATAGAAGATGTAAGGAAACACGCTAAAGAGCAGCGACTGTGCCACCTGTGGTAGAGACGGAGCAGCACATCCTCACACGCTGCCCAAAATACACACCTGTCTGGAAACAATATTTAATAATAGGCATCCACATTTTTATTCAGTCAGAAAACGTACCGAGGGAAATGGAAGACAGTTTTCATTTAATTTATGTATCAAATGCATAGATAATTGACTATATCTTGCACACACAAATAATAATAATCAATATAATACTAATAATTTATTATTTGTTTATGTCCTTTATTTTGTCACGTTAAGAATTTCCTTTCAAAGAAAAAACAGCAATTTGTGGTCATGCCAATAAGGCTAGTTGAATTTGAGAGAGCGAGAGAGAAAGGGGGGAGACGGGGAGAGAGGGGAAGTGAGAAAAAGAAAAAGAGACCTTTGGAAACTACATAAGTGGGACTTGTCGTGTTATTTCCGTGCCAATGGAATGGCTGTTGAATCTCTGTCAGACTGACGTTCAGCGCTATCAACCGCCGCCTGCTGCAGACCACCTGCAGAATGCAAAACGCTCGATTGTCACGCTCCACTTTAGGAGACACGAGTCACTTTGTAGTTTAAGCAAATAGCTAATATCTGCTGGAAAATGCTGCTTCTTTCCATCTTAAGAGGCAGTCTCCCAGTCCAACGGGGATCTTGGCTCCCGACGATGCATTCACACGGCCTCCCCTCGTGTCCTCCGCCTTTATCTGCCATAACGTGATGCATGAATGCGTCTCCACACACCTGGGGGTCGTTATGGATTTTTTCATTAGGCCGTGATGAAGTCATGTCAAACGCGGCGGCGGGGCGTCCCCTGCTTGTCCGTGTATTTTATGCACAGAGACGGTGAATGTAAACGAGGCGTGCGGCAGCAGATATCACGCATGCATCTGGTCAATTAGTCGATACCCCCAAAGCACGCTGGGGCAAATTCCTTCCTCCTGCGTCGATGGTTAAACGCAATATTAGATTCATAGTATTTTTGCATGATTCCTGTCAAATCTCTATGATTTGTCAATGCACCAGGGTCAAATTATTGTTTTTTATGCATGTTTATTCACTATCCAGTTTATTTGGAAAGTGAAAACACTTTCATTTCAGAGAATGTTTTTCAATGCCTTGACAGCTCTGTATCATTTTGTAGTATTAATAATAATAACTTTATTTATATAGGACCTTTCAAAACTAAATTACAAACCTACCTACCTAATAACACTGTCTTCCTGATATGACAGAGGGAGAAGAGCAGCGATGTTGTGGTCGGTGGAAGCGGCGGTTCCATAGTTGCCAGCGGCGTCGGGACGTCTGTAGGAGCCACCTCGGCGTCCGGCAGCGCCATAGGTTCCTCGTTGGCGTCCGGATTGACTCCCGGAGGTCACGGGAGTCACATGGGGGAGGAGCCCAGCGACCTGGAGGAGCTGGAGGTGTTCGCCCGCACCTTCAAACAGAGACGCATCAAGCTGGGATTCACCCAGGTACAATCCGACAGGGATGAGAGGAAGGTGGAGCGAAGTAAGTCGCGTGAGTCTCAGTTCTGTTTCTGACTTTTTGTTTCGTCCGTCTCGGCCAGGGGGACGTCGGCGTGGCGATGGGCAAACTGTACGGCAACGACTTCAGCCAGACCACCATCTCCCGATTCGAAGCTCTCAACCTGAGCTTTAAGAACATGTGCAAGCTGAAACCGCTGCTGGAGAAGTGGCTGGGAGATGCAGGTAAACAACGAAAAACTCAGCAGAGCCGGTGCTTAACCCGGTCGACTGCCGACACCGGTCTGTCATCAGGAACATGGAGAAAGCAGAGTTTATTCCTGGCACTTTATCATTTTGCATGACTTTAAAGTTTTAAATGACCTGAAGTTAGCTTAACACTTCCATTGACAGTACAACGGATTATTAGGGCCATTGTAGGTAAAACAAATTATTGTTATTATTCACTAGCTTAGGACCCCACCTCGGCCGGAGCGAGCCTTTGTCGGTTGTTTGGAGGGTTGAGGAATGGTTGATGGAGATTTAGCCTGATGCGGTTTGGGGGAGGCTTAGCTGAGGACCCACTGCGGCTCCCGGGTCTTGCAGATCCCCCGGTCTCCATATGGGATAGGAGGATGATGACTATGGGGGGAGATAACTATTAACAAGAGGGAGGGAGGTTGGGATGCAGAAAACGCGAGCGAGCCGAGGCTTAGAGTGAGTAGGTATTTATAGGAGTGTGGCCGGAAGTGGGCGAGTGGCTGAGGTGTGGTCCTGCTCCTGAAATTCAGCTAAGTTTTATCTCCAATTAATTATTATAGAGCCAGGGGAGCGCGGTCATTTTCAGAAAAAAAAACTTTTTAAATATTATTTCCAAGATTAAAGTTGTTCATTTTATAAGAAAATCTCTTGGTTTTTCTCTGAGATTAAAGTTGTAAATTGAAAAGAGAAAAAACTCTTCTTAGATTATGAAGTTATGAATTTGCAGGTAAAACACTGCTGTATTGTGAGCCAGCAAATATATTCATATTGTTAGTATTATGTTTTTCCTCTGAATATTGCCCTCATCCCACGCCTCCAAATTGCTTTTGTTTATTATTCCCTACAATTGCCCTAATATGCCGTCATTTTTGAAAATAAATATTGTAAACTGAACAATCTGAAAGTCTCTCTCTTTAACGCGTTATTTAATCTTACTAGATAATATGCCATTTTGATACATCCATAATGCAGCCGTAATCCATCCATTTAGCTGACAGATTACTCAGCTATACTGTATGTCAGCAACAGTTCTATAAGTCCAAAGTCATCAATGTGATACATTTTTTTATTTTGCCGTCACCATATGAGTTACGTGCAGAAACAACGTGATGGTTGTTTTACTTCAAACAAACCATTCTTGTCTCACTGTGTTCCCTCCGACAGAACACATGGCAATAGACAGCATGCTGCCCAGCCCGTCTCTCTCCTCCCCCATGCTGGGCATCGAGGGTCTATCCGGCCGACGCAGGAAGAAGCGCACCAGCATCGAGACCAACGTGCGAGTGGCCTTAGAGCGCAACTTCCACATGGTAGGAGAACACAGGAAGCTGTATCGGTCATATCTGCACATGGAGACAGATCCATGAAATGATATCAAGTCATTCGAAAAAAAATCCTATCTCAATGCATTTTACATTTTTAGCTGGTATCTGAAAAGTAAGGTATTTATTGTAGATAAATCAATTGTATAAAATGGTGCAGGTCGCAGATTCAAGAGTGGAGTCTCAGCTTTAATTTTAGAGTAATAAATGTGAAAATGAAAACAAATTTAACTTTTCAATTTAGAGAAAAAAACTATTTTTCACGCAAATTGATGTTTTTTTTATTGGCAATTCGTGAGTTATGTCTCTTAAGGAATCTCTTTGAACGGTTGGACACACCACAGGGGCCATGTTAAACACTGCGGTACCGTGAGCCGCCAAATACATTAATTGTATTGGTATATGTTTTTCCTCTAAATATTACCCCCTTCCATGGCTGTCTTTGTTTATTATTACACCGTAACATTGTTAAAGACAAATCATTTGAGGTACCCCAGGTGGGAGTTTAAGGGTAAAAACCAGCATTGTCACATGGGTTTCCCCATCTGCTCATCTGTCTGACGCTTTTCCTCCTCAGAACCAGAAGCCTACCTCGGAGGAGATCCTTCTCATGACGGATCAGCTCAGCATGGAGAAGGAGGTGATCCGCGTTTGGTTCTGCAACCGCAGGCAGAAGGAGAAACGCATCAACCCCTCCAGCAGCACCACGCCTCCCCTGCCCAGCCAAACCTCACCTGTCATGACACACAAAGCCCCCTGCTACAGCCCGCACATGGTACAGTCCACCGCTCGTCCACTAACTCTTACTCGACCGCGTTTTTCAGTTTTTTTTGGTGTAGCCAGATAATTGCTGGACAGATGGATTTGGAAGCATTTCCTAATTTTTCTCTCTCTCCCACTCCAGATATCGAGTCATGGTCTGTCCCAGGTCACCGCCTGCCTCAGCACAACAGGTGAGCTCAGCTGTAATTACTGTTTGTGCCCGTGCAGAGTCTCGTCCATTAATTATTAAAGGTCAGAGTCCCAATTGCCTTTTTTTTTGGAACCCTGAGGCCGGACACGGGAAGATTAAAGTGCTGCTGGCGTTATTTGGGAGAAGTTGATGTTTCTGTATTGTCGGAGCCTTTCCTTTCGCCGGTCTGATGAAACACTGAAGAATCATCACTTTAAAGAAAATGATTTCCGCGAGAGGGAGATTGAAATAGAAAACATGATGTTTTGTTGACGACAACATGCAGGCACGGGTCCCATCTCGAGTTGTTTACCTCCATGAGTCACGACATGTCCTGGTGATTTATAGACCTCAGGCTACAGTGCGAGCTATCTCGGGCTTCACAGATATGACAGATGGCCTGACAGGTAACAAACACAGCTGGGAAATTTATCGGCCCGTTGAGCCGAGGCTAGCGCTCTGCGCTCGCCAACCTCCCTCTCCGGTCCGCAGTAGAATGGAGTTAAAGAAGACGCTCAGGATCCTGACTGCTGATGAAGAACCGTCAGGATCCTGAGCCTTATTTAGTAACAACGCTGTAACTCAAACCCGCCGCACGGCATCAACATCCCTCTTATTCTCCTCTTCCTCTTCAGCCGCAAGCTCTTCAGCATCCTGCACCATGACTCCCGTCAGCTCCGCCACGGTGGGCTCCACCTCTTCTTCTGTGACCCCGCCCCCTCACAGCACAGCTAGCTCCGTCCCTCACAGCCTCGGGGCCCACGGGCTTATCACCGGGTGAGTGTTTATGCTTTGTAGTTTTCATCCAAGATCCAAAACAATGCACTTCTTTACTATTAAGTATTTAGCATAGCGGCTCGACTTCAATCCGCCCACATGTTCTTTTTTTTAAGTCAAAGTTACAGCAAAAGCCAAACAATCAAACGCTCTCCAGTTTCCGCGTCTTACTTTTGTTTTTATATATATTTATTTTTGTAAAATTTATGTATTTGTTTTTTGAACTGTTGGTCAGATAAATTGAGATTTAATAAATCCCCATTTTGCAAAAAAAAATATCATGAATTGATCTATAAATAAATGAAAACATGTTAAGTTGACATCACCTGATACATATGTAGCTGCATGCTACAAAGGAATCTGTGGCATTCAGCCATTCAGACCGCTGCCACGCCGGTTCTACTGCAATTCTGCATGTTTACACACACACACACACACACCCACAGCTAAGGCATGCGGTTCTGACAGATAGAAAACAGCAGCTGCTGCACAAAAAAGTAGGAGAAGCTGCTGATGCCTCAGTCGAAACACAAGCCAAGTTCAAAGCCCTGAGGTCTCTTATAAGTACGTTAACCTGCCGACTTTTTCTCTACATGTGTGAATTTTTGTGCGTGTGTGTGTGTGTGAATTTGCGGTCCATCCACATTTCAGGAACACAATGATGGGAGTAAGCACAGGGATGAACCAGGCCCTCATTGGCAGCAACCCCCTGGCTACCATGCAAGGTGTGTGTGCATGTGTGTGTGCGTGTGTCTGTGTGTGTGTGTGCATGCAGGCTGTCCCCCTCCAGCCCAGCGAGTCTCCATTTCTAAAGACCTCTTCCCATTTCACCCCTCATCCATTCTGCTCAAAATGAATTTCCTCGCAGCCTCCGACGACCGTAGCCAACAGCGAGCCCGGCCGCACGCTCCTCCTCCTCCTCCTCCTCCTCCTCCTCAGCACAAACTTGTTGAATCGCTCAGTATGGTGAAAGATTCAATTTGATTCTCATACAATAGCCCCGCCATTATCACAAAGTGACAAGAGCCCCTCGTGGCAAAGCTTAGGAGGCCAAGTCAGCTTACAGTAAACAGATGAACAGGCACAATCCCCTCCTTCTTCAACACCAAGGCCTGTCGGCTAAATTCCCCTTTTTGAAGGAGGCAATCTGCTGCCAAATCAATTAAGCATCACAAATAAGGTCCGTCGAGCTCAGCTTTGAATCCCTTACGTGATCCATCTCCCTATAGCGCCCATTCAGACCTTCCCCTTTTCTCCCGCTCGGTTCAGGGCCGGCCTTCCTCCAGGCCGCTGTTGATGAGAAGGATACAGTCTGTTACGGAAACTGCAGCTCTGGCACTGCCGGTCTCTGATAGCGTTACGGGCTGAAGGAGGGAAGAAAGAGGAGTTCCGGGGTTGAAATTAAGTTGTTGAAGAAATAAAAAAGGATTTCTGCTTTGAATCCCCCTGGCCTAGCCCCCCCCCCCCCCACACACACACACACACCCACACACACGCCATGTATGTTTACACTCATGGCGCTGTAATAGATAGAAGCTATAGAAGGTTTCACTCTCTCCGTTACAGCAGAGCTCTGTCTGACGGACGGGTTTGTTCTGCCACGTTCACCGCAGTAGTTCTGCAGAAAAGATTCTTATAAAGATGTAAATAATATATCGATGCCTTGAAAATATGTTTACGATATCTAAAGCGGTCATTCCCAAAGACTGGGTCAGGACCCGCAGGTGGGTCACAGGACGTGTTATTTTGAGTCCCCAAACAAATTATCAGAATTTATTCCATAGTCTTTTATTTAACTTTAATATCTGCAGAACCTTTTACAGCCACACGAGGGAGCCTGAATACTCCTATTGTTCTGATAATTGTAGCGTACTAATAATATTTAATATCTAATATATTATTACTGATGAGAGGAAATAGCTTGGTAACTCTCACTATTTATTTGGTCTCATTTATTTTTGTATTTAATATGTGTGTGTTTTCAATAACATATGCATAAAACAAAGTTATGATACATCAAACGTGTCGCAGATCGCTTCAAAATGGCTGATTTACTTATTAAAGATGAATGCAGAAATGGCCAGGATTGTTCATTTACAATTTACATAGATAAGGCCTATACCGGGAATCGGGTCGCGAAAAGTGGGTCCCCAGAAAAGAAGTTTGTAAATCGCTGGACCTTTTTTTTTTTACCGTGGCGATGCGAAGCTTCGTGTGCCGACGGTCCACAGGACGAGACGGAAGTTCATTTCTGACACTTTCACAAGCGTCCGCCTTGATCCATTTCATCATTACATGGGAGAGTGCACCGGCCATGTGCGTGTGCATGTGTGTGGTAAACAAACATCATCATCTTCACCGTTTTGCTGACTATCATTTGTCCCCTTGCATTATGGGGTTGGGTATTCATCACCTCCAAATGTAGATAGAAACAGACTCATTTGTAAAGGTTCAGTTCACTAAAATTACAAACAAAGAATCCATGCAGACAGTTTGGTTTTAAGATCTCGTCTTCTTCTATTCTTTTGAAAATAGTTTTGTTTTGAGTTTGGTGAACTGAGCCCTTTAACCATTCACGCCATCCTGGCAATCATTTATTCCTGTTGTGTAGATAAGAGGGTGTCGTGCCTCATCATCTGTATCTGTGGTTACCTGATGTGTTCACTGACTTCTCTTTTATTCCTGTCTCTGTCTATCCTTCTCTTCACCTCTTCTTCTGTTCTTCCTCCGTTGTTGCTGTGTCCCATCTCTGCTCTCGGTGTCCTCTTCATTCTCCTATCGCTCCTATCCTCACTCCTTTTCTCTACCTCTCTTCATCATCCCTCACATTGTATTCATCACTATTTTGTCTTTTTCTTTCGATCCCTCTGCTTTCTCTTGAGTTTCTTGCATCTTTTTGTTGTTGTTGTTTTTCATCTCTTCCCCTCTTCCTGTCTCATCTCTCTTTCCATCTTCCCCCTCCTTGCTCTTCCTCCATCACTGTCCGCACTCCTCTTCCTCTCTTCCCCCCCGAGCAGCCCTGGCAGCCAGCAGCGGGCAGCTGTCCATCTCCGGCCTCGAGGGCGGAGCGGCTCACATGCTTCTGGGCGGACCCGGGTGTCCCGGCGTACCCCACTCCCTCCGCCCCTCCCTCTTCCTCAACCGCCCCACCCTCCTCCCCATGGTGACCGGCTCTATGGCGACACCCTCCACGCCTTCCATGGGACTGGTCAGCGGTGTTGGCGGGTACGGCCCGAGGCTCTCCTTCTCCCAATCTCCGCCCCCGGGCACCAGTGGCCTCATGAGCCCGACCTCGTGCCCCGAGGAGTCCGCATCTCCTTGTTCAAGTCCCGCCTCTTTCTGTTCCTTCAGCGAAGCCTCGCCACCGCCCCTGGGAGGGGCCATGGCCGAGTGATCCCCGACTGACAGCCAAAGTATCCTATCAGCAGAAGACGAGGAGGAGGAAGAAGAGGACGAGTTAAAGGAGCTTTAAAAAAATCTTAAATTTACAACCTCGCCTTTCAACCAAAGCCATCTCTCTGTCTGATCCGTCTCCGATATCGTCTCTCTCTCTCTCTCTCTCTCTGCGTCCCCGCTGAAGTCTTCTGAAGCCAAAAATATACACGGACGGATGACGGGACGAAGCCAAGAGAGAGGGAGGATGGAGAGGATAGAGAGAACGGAAGAGCGGAGGGGGGGGGATTTGAAACCAAATAATGATCTACAGCTGGAGAGGTGGCACTGAGGAGTGTTTTATTTGCGCTTGGCATCGGGAAACCGACAGCATGCTTTTTATCTGCTGGAGGAAGAGACGAACTCGCCGAGGGCAGGGATGAGAAGAGAGACTGTGTGAAAAATGGGAGGCAAGAAGAAAAGACTTGTTTAACAAGCTCGGAAGGTCACGTGGTTGTAACCGAATTTAAAAAAACAAAGAGAAGATGCTAGAAGAGAAACACACACTTACAAAGATGAAAACCAAAATCTCCAAATACCAAAAACTGAAAACCAAAAAAGACAACAAACGAAAAAAAACAAACGGAGAGAAAAGCTTTAGTTCAAAAAAAGACATCCTGATCTGTCCAGGTTCAGCTCAATGCTCCATTCTACTTCATGCCAAGCATTCTGCATTTCACTCAGGATTTCCTTTAGTCTCATTCTCAGTTTTTACAAAACATCTATTTTTCTATCATTTTGTGTTCATCGCTCTTCATGGTATTCCTTACCAAAGGTAAATGTTTAAGCTGATCCCACATGCAGGATATCTACCTCTCTCTTTACAGCTTTACAGTGATGAACATACCTTACATTAGAACAGACAGTGTTTGTTTTAAACAGCCTGGAGTGGCAGAAGTGTGGGGTTTGCTACTAGAATTACAATAGCATCAGGTAAGATCCCAATACGTACCAACTGGAGTTTAAAACTTAACTTCAAAAGGCTGGTATTCATTAAATCCTACCTTTCTGACAAGTCAATAGAATAAAACCAAGCGGACGTGTTTGACCAAGGTAAAAATGAGCACGTTGATCTTTTGTTTTTTATTTATTTATTTTATTTATTTAATTATTTTGATCTTAATTTTCTGTTCACAAAGAACATTTCCATCAGGTTTTTCCATCACCATCACCATTATCAATATTCTCGTTGTTCTCTTTAACGTCTGCTCAGACTGAAGTGTACACACTCTACACTCCTACTGCCTACAAAGAGGACACCAGGGGCGGACGTGGACAGTCTTGGGATTATATTCAACGTTGTTTGTTCTCCTTTATTTATCATCGCCCCATCCACGCCTGCACCATCGCCATGTCATCCTCCAGACCGCTCATCGACCACCAGACAGTCACTCTTGGATACCAAAGCATCGCCTCTGGCAGCGTTGTCTCTTGATTCGCCCGAGAGACGAGTGTCCAGACAAAAACCTCAGCAGAGTCAAAGGGAAAACACACACACACACACACACACACACACACACACACTACAAGCATAAGAAAGAGTCCAAACCAAAAAAAAAAGAACAAAGGAAAGAGGTGAAGCACCGGCGTTCCCCTTACTGCCCCCAAACCCCTGCCCTCCGTCCCTCCCTCCCATCTTCCCCTCTCCTTTGTCTCCAAAGATCCGATCAAAGGGTCAAAAGAAAAGAGGAGACGAAGAAGATGAAGAGGAGGAGAAGAAGCGGTCAGGAGCGGAGGAGCCAAAGGTATGAAAAAGCTGCAGGGGCTAAGCAGGAAGAAGAGGAGGAAGAGGAGCAGGAGGAGGTGCGCTCGAAGCGGCGGACCAAATAACCAAAAAGTAACCCAAAACCAAAAGCTACTACTACTGCTACTTATAATGTGTGAGTGACTGAACCGCAAACGAAACCAAATACAAACAAAGAGGGGGAGGACGGGGGGAGCCGAGGGGGGAGTAAGGCCCTGTCTGTCTGTTTGTCTTTAGCTGTGATTGCCGTTCTTGTATCGACGGACAGAAATCCTTCCCTCCCTCCCTCTGCCAGCAAACCTCGGCTTTCTTCTCACTTTCTTTTTTCCTGGACGGATAAAAATATGGAATAACCTCAACAAACTGACTTTGAGAATATATATATATATATTTTTGTTTTTTGCTTTCCATAGTGTGTCTGTTAATGATGTATGGATTTGTCTCATTGCTTTCTACTTAATATGTGGCGGGGGGGAGAGGGGGAGGGAGGGCGGGTGAGGTGCTGGGCGACGTGTTGCCTACTTTCAAATCTTCTTGTCTCTTCGGTTGTGCTCTGGCCTTTTTTTTATTCTTCTCTACGGTTGTAAATAACTGAAAATGTAGCTTCCAGGATAAAAGACAAGTTTTTGTTTTTGTTGTTGATCCAAAATGTTGTGAAAAAGCCAAAACTAAAACAACCCAAAGCAAAACTTTTTAGACATACAACCATACCAAATCGAACAACCAAACCAATGCACAAGTTGTACGAGTGGCTCAGCGGTGTGTGTGTGTGTGTGTGTGTGTGTGTGTGTGTGTGTGTGTGTGTGTCGGTATAAAGATAAATGATCTTGCATACAAACCAAACCATAAAACACACAACACGTAAAAAAGAATCTCTGTCACATAAACATGTTGGACTAGAATAACATCGCTTAATGCTTACTTTAGACAGCTGAAAGCTAAACTCTGCTCATTTTCAACCTGGACCCACTTTCCCATCAAACGTATCGTCGCCAACTCGTCTCTCCTGCCGCTTGGAACGCAGACATTTCTATTTCAAAAGGCAAAGCGTGTTTTTTAAAAACCATTTTGTTACCAAAAAAGATGCACAAATTGAGTTTTTAGTCTATTCGTAATCGGATAATTCAGAGTTCTGCTATTGTAATGCAGTTGAGAGCAGGGACGACATATTCACAAATAACGTGACCTGGAAACCAAACCTAGAAGTCAAACTGCAAACAAGAAGAACAAGCGGAGATACATGTGGTACATATGGTCATTTTCCTTAAATGCATCACCAACGAAGAGTTTTTAAATGGAACGGTGCAAACCAGCGGTCAGCTATTTAAAAACCGGTGGTACACTTTGATTAACGACGAATTATAAAATATGTTTTATTGAAGTTAATTAGCTTTGCCTCTAATGGGGAAGCAGTAGGCGATCATCACTCTGACGGGAGGAAAAAACTCTCAAGGTCCAGGTTGAAAACAGAGTTTCATGTAACACACACAGGTACTGAAGGCAACCATTGATAAGATGATATGGGGGGGGGGGGGGGGGGGGGGGGCTGACGTCTGAGGCGGATTAAAGGCTAAAAACGTCCACTGTTAGAGGGAATGTATCCATTAGCTCTTCTAGGTTTTTGTAGGGGGAAAATAATCTATGTTCAACTGCTCTTACTAGTTGCTGACGTATAAAAAGACTGAGACTATTATCTCTTGATGATGACGACCGGAGACGACGACGACGGATTTAAGAACCAAAAGCTTTAAAACTCTTTATCTCTCATGGGCTCTTTGTTGGAAAGAAAAATTTGTATTTATTGTATGAGGGAGGTCTGTGCTTTTTTCGTGGATGGGGAAGATGGTCCGTTTGTATTTTATTAACTTCTCTGTCTCTCACCTTTATTTATTGACTCTTTATTTATGTATTTATTGGATTCTATTTATGTCTTTCTGGATCTTTGTACTAGTATTTTCAGGGGTTGTTGTGAGGCTTGTATCTGCGGGGGGGGGGGGTTCTTGAGATCGAGACAAGAAGAGAAGATGCCAAACGAATGTTTCAAAGCAAAACCAAACCTACAGACTGTTGTAACCTGAGACGGAGAGAGAAAGTAGCAGGGAAACTGTGACGGAGGAAAACGCTGTTTGGGGTGTGTGTTACTGTTTTTTAAATATTCGGTCAGTGATGTTTACTGACATATAACACAGATTTTCTTTTAAAGAAACTTTGGGTTTCTCATTTTAGATCAGACTTATGTGTTACCGTTGCACCAGCTCTTCGTTAATTCAACCGTAGCCTTGTAAGTGTTTACTGAGTAGAGATTTACAAATTTCAATTGTCTGCACCATAAAAACTAATTCTTAGATTTGTTGTTTCTAGTGCTGCGTTCCATTTACCTCTGACATGTGAGCTGGGAATGACATCACACCTGAGTAGATAGCATTCCAGTAGTCGGAAAACCAAGATGAACAGCCATTGTAGCCAGGTTAGCCATTGCTAGCAATACCAATACGTCAGTACACAGTATTTTGCACACGCAAACACAGTAGCGACATGTCCACAGGTAGAAGTTGGCAGTACTGCGTGTACTACTGATTTAGTGAGACAACGGATTGCTAACAAACAACATGTTACTACAGCTTCCACTTATGTTGAGCTGCCATCTTGGATTTTATGGTCAGGATGTTTTTCCAATTTTCCAAGTCGGCAATCCAACTTTGCAGTTAAACATTTTTGACTGGGAACTAAGACAGCTTGTGATGCTATCAGTTGCTCACGAACAAAGTCTTCATTCCTAAAGTCTTCATCACTAAGACATTTATCATTTTCGTGGTGCAACCTCATTTATTCATCACATGTCTAAAACTTAGATATTAGTTTGTAAGAACTTAAACACACTTTTGGGGTGGATTTTACGAACAGCTCGTGCAACCCGGTCCTGCTGCTTCAGGACATTTCACATAGCGAGTCTGGTGTGCTGTCAGTCGTTAGGAAGTAAACTAAACTAACGTTGAAAATACGAGCAGGTTCTCTTCATGTTCGCCCTTTGTTTTGGTTCAAAATCTGTCCCGTTGAGTGAGTTTCCTCCGTTCACGTCTCCTCCTCTGCTCTCTAAAAAAGCTTTCTGATTCCCCTTCGTCTCTTCGTCAGGGATGAAGGGGCTTTTAACTCATACCTCTGATACTCTGATGAAAAAAAAACCAAATAGACATTCAAGCTTTAATGACATAAAAAAAAAGAAAATAAAAAAAGAGACCTGACCTGTCTGAACTCAGGAGCGAGGGATGTGAAACTGGCCCCAGCGGGCTTGACTATGGAGAAACAAAGATTTTCAGTTCTTATGGCTTTAACCCACAGAACACACCACCACGTCCTGGTGGCTGTGTTTTGTAGAGAGGAAGGTGTGTGTGTGTGTGTACTCATCACTGCTGTCGGAGGAAAACATTTGAACCCCCATGTTTTTACTTAAAATACTAATTTACCCCAAAAAAAATCCACTGCAGAGCTGAAAACTGCGCGGATGTCAAAGTAAACCTAAAAAATTTTTTAATATTTTTACGATTTGTGTTTTTTTTCTGTCCCCGACAGCAGTGCAGCTCTCTGTGTGCCTGTGCAGTCCGGCTCGGCTGTGGTGGACAGAGAATGATACCAAAGTTAAAACCACCACAGTGAGACGCTACACTACAAACACAACAACACACACTCACAGTCATTCCACGTGTAAATACACATCCAGGATTCTTGTTAGGGACTGTATCTGCTCAAATAAAAGGCATCCGAGCGCCTGTCGTTGATATAAAAACACTGTCGGACAATAAGAGCACTTCAGGCCTTGACAGTTTTCTACTGTAGTTCTTCTGTGGCTGTGAATGTTCATTTTACTACTCTGTTCAACTTTCCAAGTCACCGTGACTCATTAAAGACCTTTTGTTTTTTCCTTTGGCCTTGAGATCATAAAATGTAAAACCTGACAACGTTAAAAAAAAGAGAGAGAGAGTAACTCCAGTCGATATTGTTTGCCCCGTTTTGTCGTTCATTTATTTAGGAAAAGTAATAAAAAGAAACGTTTTCCTTTCTATTTTTTCTACAATGCAGCTTAAATCCAAAGGTTAAGAGGACAGCAAAGATAGATTTTACTGCTAAAGAAAGAACCTCAATAGTGAAAACCAAAGAGCTCCGCTGTATTTTCTCACCTTGATTTTCTTTTCTCCGCATTGTACGACTCCCATGTTTTGTTCTGATGGCTGTAAACTCCAAAAGCATTCTTTAATATAGCCTGATGATGATGATGGTGATGATGATGATGTTGGCGATGAACAGAAAAGATGAAACAAACACTGCTCTGTAAGCTTTAGTATCTGTTTTTCGGGTCAGTTTTTTTCTGTTTTGAAGTATGCTTACGATATGCTGTTTTTTGACCTTGAGGCTCTCTCTGTCTGAGTTGATTCTATAACCTGATTCTGTTGGAAACGTTTGAGTTTGAAACTGTTCCCTACTGTCCCTGAACTCATCGCTATCTGTGTGCCTGTTGTTTTGGGGGCCAGGGAAACGGGGACAAAACAAACCTGTAAGTGTTAGGAATAAAGTGCGAATTTAGACCAAAGTCATCTCCTGTGTCATTCTTGTCTTGATATGATAGAAAACAAACAGCAAGTAGAATACGACTCCCAGAATACACTAAACAGATGATGCAACATTTCTAGTGCATGAATATGAGTTCACAGAGTTTTGAATAAAGTTTTGCAGGTAGTTGTTTCACATAAATAAACTCAGACTATTTCATAAAAGGTACAAATATATGTGTACTATTTAGTATTTCTGTTATTTGCTAGTGATATTTCTATAATAAACCTGCATTAATCAATATGTTTATATGAAAAATAACTATACATAATATGAAAGGGGTTATTCGTTATGATAAACCAACAGACAATTATCAGCTGACTCTGTATAACACCATCCCATCCAGGAGGCAACCTCCAGTTCTGAACAGTGAAGTTGATGCAGAAGTGCCTTAAACCTGCATTCTCTCTAGTGTCCAGCAGGGGGCGACTCCTCTGATTGTATTGAAGTCTATGAGAAAATGACTACTTCTCTCTTGATTTATTACCTCAGTAAACATTGTAAACATGAGTTTATGGTCTCAATCGCTAGTTTCAAGTCTTCAATACAGCATGATGTTCATTTAGTACATTATGATCCATTTAGAGTCAAACAGACCATAAAGCAGGGGATGCTTTAGGGCGGGGCTACATGGTGATTACTACCATTACCAGAGCTGTATACGGCATCTCTACGTCACTCTCCTGCAGTCCAAATATGGTCACTTCCATTTACTGGTTGCAAGTATTCTTCAATACAGCATGATGTTCATTTAGTAGATTATGCTCCATTTAGAGTCAAACAGACCATAAA